CCTTAACAGTAAGCACTACACAGCCTGGGTCTTCATTTCCTTCCCCACACTGGGCCTACATAGTCAAGTATCTGCAGGTCTACAGAAGTCTTCCTGCTGAAGATACAGGAAAGGTGACTGCTGCCTTAAAGAGCACTGGCACCACCTGAGTGATGCATTTCACAACATCTGGAAGCACATCAACAAGGTGTTACCTTTCTACACCTCAAGACAAGTCACTGAGCTGTGGAACATTGAGAAGCTAAGGAGTGCCTCAGTGCTGAACTTAATCATACTGATTAGAGGCAACAGGCCGTTCAACATTAAAGAACAGAATTAAGAAGACAAAGGCTTTTTGTTTAGTTTTGGATTGACTGAAAAGAATTCTAACTACTTGGACTATCACCTCCTGTAACAAGTATTTTATTTGAGTTCTAACTGACAGTTAGAATATTAATGACTTCTCTGCAAGTTCTCACTAACCATAAACAGATCACTTAATCTTTTAGTCTAGGTGACAAGCCCAACTAAAATGGGCAGCAAGGAAGTCACTTTTGCTTCTACTGGACCAATAACAGATGACATAGTGTTAGCACTAAGGGATATTTTCCCAAGTGTAGCAAGTTGTTGGGTATCCTTAAGCTTTGTTGACAGTATTCTAACCAGTGTGCTTATCTCCTACGGGACTGCTTTTACAGTGGGTATATGGTTCTGAAGTGTGTCACCAACTGCTGGGACTAGAGTTAGCTTATAAAGCTTAAGTCTTGTCTCCTTAAGGGATTTAGCAGCTGAAGCTGTTGCACAAAATCTGTTTGAGAAAAGATTTTCCTTTTGACGCACTTACCAGGAAAACTATTTGTCTCAGCTACAGTAGAAGTGAAACCTGGAACTGGATTGAGGACTGCAAACATGCTGTAGGATGATAATATGACAGCTGTCATTTATTCTACGTTTGCTTCCTGGAACTCAGGGAGAGGACTGGCTTACAGCCCATAAATAGTAGCAGGTACTCACATGCCCTTGTTGAAGGGTGTTGACATTGCACAAGCCCACCCTGAAAAGGTGTAACAAGAAGGGAACCACCACCCCTTCGGTAGTGGTTCAGGAGTGAACAGCTAGTAAAGACTCATGAGAAGCAGCATATGGCATGCAAGGGTAATTACACTGAGAACTTAACTGTTGGTTCACACTTTAGCTCAAGAGGTAAGGGCAGGGAAATGGTTTGTTGCATTACTTTAGCAGGCAGCCTAGTTGATTATGCTAGTTTTAGCCACTGCACAGGCACCATACTATGATTAGCTAGATACCTCTAGATGAGATGACTACTTGATCAAGTTTTATTTCACTAGAAAAAGCATTTGGAGCTTTATATCCTTCTGTATTGCTCTCCTTTTTAGCTCATCCTAAGCCTTCACACAAAGGATACCTTAGAATGATACAAACTCACTGCCTAATGCTGGTGATGGAAAGCAAATTCTCCAGCACCCTGTCAAGGATACAACGCAGTCAAATTTGCTATTTTAGTACTGCAGGATGGCATTTTCTACAATTTATCACTGCTGAACAAGACATTTGACTGTCACTGCCAAGCTGCACTGTAGTGGCATACTGCCATGTTGTGTGCCTTATACTGGTTGCTACAGTGGAAAGCTTTACGTCATCACCTTCTCCAGTTTGACAGAACTAGAATGTTATTTAATGCAAGTTCTGGCTCAGAAAGTCAATACTTTGGCCAACTGACCATCTGTGAAGTAAGCTGCCCCCCCTGGAAGTGCTGTATAGGTTCTACTTGCAGCACTCAGCTTAACTACTTGTGAAAGTATCATGCATTTACCACAACGCACAGCTATCCTATTAGTCTGCACAGACACACACACTATGAAAAAGTTTCCTAATTATTGAAATACAATTGACTTGTTTATCCAGTAGTATACTGCTGAGCAGTCTACCCTAAACTTTTGAGTTCCCCATTAGGTTTTCCAACTTCCACTAGAAGTTGATGAGTCCAGCAACACAAGAACTAAAGCATGAGGTTGTTCTAATTGTTGCTTTCCAAGAAACAGATATGCTTCAGCTGCAATACCAGTAAAAAGCTTGCCAACAGAAGCTCTGGAGGAACTCTACATATTTCACAGAAGTACTTTTGCAAGATGTTTGTTATTGAACATCTGTTCAGGAGTCCGCTAGCAAGCTCAGTCTTCCCCCCAAAAAGTTCAAGCTTTGAGATTCAGACAAAGCAATAAAGATAGAACTACCCTTGTACCAAGCTTGCAAATACCATTACAACAGTACAAGTTGAATTGCTTCAACACAAACTTGAATCTCAGTGTTCTCTGACAATGTTTCTGGCTTAGCACCATCTCCAGCCATAACAGGAGGCTATCCAATAGCTTTTACCAGAACTTGACAGCAGTTAAGTCATCCATTCCTGCACCACTTAACATTTTAATGTCACATTAGTTGAAGTCATAGCTTTCCAGATATGACACCGGTAACTCACTCCATTTTCTCATGTTTGTTCTGCTGCCACTACTAGTACTGCTGGGGGAAACTGCATGTGTTAGCTGCTACTTTTTGTGACCACAAGCGCTTGTCAAACCAGAGGTTAGCTGACAGCTACTGTCTGCCACACTCCAACAAGCAGCTTATGGTACAAGGCTTACCTTTTAGAAATACAATACTACAGCAATTCAAGTTCAAACTCTTCTCCCACGCTGAAACTTGCTTATTAGCAACATGGTCTGTGTTCCACTGAGCAGCAGTTATTTGATACAAGTTCAGACAGTGAACTTGATTCTGCTTGACTTGTATTACCTGCTCTGTAGCCTTCCAGCATAGAGACATAAAACTAAATTTTAAGTTCATGATAGCTATGAATGTATACAGCATAGATGCACTATATGTACAGTAGTACACAAGTGGAACTAGAATGATTAACAATTATTTATTATACAAGATAGACCTGTATACAGGCATGCACAGATGCAGGTAAGGAAGGTGAAGGAACCAATAGTTATATAGTAGTTGGACTGAGCAGTATAGAGGAAGGTCACAGTACTATCACAGCGTATGTTCATTGAAATCACTTCCAGGTCTTCGTTACAACAGGAATTCAGAATTTTCTACCCCAAACAGCACATAGGCTAAGAATGACCCATCTCAACACCTGTTTTTCTGCTCTCCTTTCTGAAAAACTTCAGTTGAGGATTTAAAAAGTTTATTATTATTTTCCAATCCCAGCAAATTTGGTCTCATTCCCAAGACCATATCATGGCTAAGTCCCTTTTGTATCATCTTCCCTGGTTCCAGCAATTCCAAATGGTCAGTCTCATGGAAAGAAAAGTCATCAAAACTTAAGGCACAAATATTTCCCAGCAAGTTAGAGTTACATCTTTCTGCTAAGTGGACTACTAGGGTCCCAACAAGGGCAGTGTAATGCAACACAAGTCAGTGAGTTCTAGTTTGTCCTCACACAGAGACCAAACACAGTCTACAATTGTTTTAGTGTATTCTTCCTGCCCTATGGACACATCCTGAAACATGAGAATAGCTACTAGATACAACATTTTAGGAGCATCTGAATTAAAGAAGCATCCTCCTTAGTAGCCTCACATCTCAGTTGATTTTGCTTTTTTAAGTAAAGCTACGCTGAGGTGCGAACTTAGACATTTAATACCATAAAATACTCACAGGGTTTTAATGTTGTCTGAAGAATTTTAGCAACTAAGGCAGCAGCCCTCAGCTGAAGCCTTCCCTGCCATGAAGGCCTGTACACTATATGATGACCAATGAAAGAACAATTCATATTGCAGAGAATGTGTGTAGGGGGTCAAGGAGGCTTCTTGCCCCTCTATTACTGCCTGTAATAACTGACCAGGTTCAATCAGCTGTGACTGACTAAAGCTATACAAGGTAATATAGACTCAACCACAAGCTACAAAAAAAGATAAAGTTGTAAAAGGTCATCTTTCTCAACCCAATTTATCCCTGGCAGCATAGACTAAAAGTGTGCCCTGCCTCAAGCCCCTACCAACCACAGGTAAGGATCGTGACATAAATATTGCATTTTTCTGCCCACTCTTCCAGGCCCTGTTTATGAAACTAGAAAGATCAAGGAACATAGTAATGACTTCACATAACTTTTCTCAAGCTCAAGTCTACTAGCCTTTAGGGTAAGTCAGTGAAGACAGGCCTTCCAGCTAGGAAGGAGTCTAGTGCTACCAAGAAAAAAGTATTTGATAGCACATAGCGAGAAACAGCTCTATCTATTATGCACGCAATTTATATTTCAGGTACAAAAGAGGAAGCCCTCCCCCGTATACACTCGCCTTATCACTTCAGCTAGCTTTGAGCTAGCACGTGTGCCCACTAGATGTTATTTAATGCAAGTTCTGGCTCAGAAAGAGCCCACGTTGCATCCACTAGACTTATTTATACATTCTCTACATTCTTCTGAAGCTGCTAGAACCCTGAACTTGACCTCCTTCTCAGGGCAGATGCACCCAGCCAGCCAGTAGAAGTTTGCCCTCTTCTATTTACTTACGAGACAGACAAGCAACTGCTCGCAGTAGAGCAACAACTCGTTCCAACGGCAGTTGCGCCCAGCAGTGCCTCGAGAGCACTCGACCTTTGGTTAAGCTTAACTGAGAGGCGCCGTCTTAACGGCCGGTAGACCACGAGTTTTCGGCTCCAGCCGCCGGGGCCTGCCCCCCGGCCGGGGATGAAGCCCACTGCTGCTCAGCCACCGCCCCCCCCCCCCCCCCCCCCCCCCACGCAGCACTCACCCCACTAGCTGCGAGACCGGCCCTGAAGGACACGACGGCGGCAGCCTGCCACCGCCACCCCGGCCCCGGGTACGTAAGAGCCGGCCAGAACCCACCACCGACACCCAGGCTCCGCATCCCGCTTCTCCTTTCGCTCCCGAGGCGCCGGGCCCCGCCGCGGGAGAGGCGGGCACGTCCCCCCGTGGGGCTGGGCGCCCTCGGTCACCCGGCGGGGCCGGGGCCGGTCCGGACCCTCACCTTGACGCGGATCTCGTAGGTGGTGAAGCGGCCGCGGCCCACCCCCACCGTCTGCGGGTTGCCCACGTCGATCTCCAGGAAGTTGCTGGGCGGCCCGTAGGCGTCGTTCAGATTCTGCGGCTTGCTGATCAGCCGCCGGGTGTCCGCGATCGTCTCGGCCATGGCGGAGCGGGCGCCTTCTTCCCCCCCCCCTCCCCTTCCCGGAGCGCGGCAGGACGCGAGCGAGCACCGCCGCCGCCCGCCCGCCCTCTTATCGCCCCCCGGCCAGCTGACTGCCCGGCAACGCGCACCCACGCCGCCGCCGCCGCCGCCGCAGGCGGATGCGCCCACCGCCCGCGCGCGAGGCAGGCTGGGATTTGTAGTCCCCAGGGGCCGACTCGCTCGCTACGCCCGGCGCGGCCGCCCGCCTGACGAACTACGGATCCCGGCGTGCGCGGGAGGCGTGGCGCGGCCCGCCGTGAGGGCGGCTCTCTGGGGCCCGCCCGCCAGGCGGGGGCAGTGGGGTTCGCTCCCGCCCCAGGCGGCGGCGCGGGGGGGATCCACGGGGAGTCGTGGGGCGGCCAGGGTGTCCCCGCTGATTTCCCATCCACCTCCGTGGGGCCCGCGGTGGTCCCCTTCTCTTGTGCAGGGGGCTGCTTTCGCGGGGGAGGGTTGGGAGGTGGGGGGGGCCCGGCCCCCGGTGAGGCCGAGGCGGGCGATGCGATTCACTCAGCACAGCAGCAGTCTAGCTTTTTTTATTTATTTATTTTTTTAAAACAGAGAAGGTTTTAACAACAGGTGCCAAAAATAGCATTTAATTTGGCTGTGACTTTCCACCTGCAGCCCTTAAAGAGGGTTCTGGTGACACTACATTCAATGTCTACACACCATTTTATCCAGGTAGAATGAGACTGTTGAAAAAAACAATTACACTTTTTTTTTTTTTTTCCCCCCAAAAAAATCTGTGTCTAGGCTGTAGGCCAAATAGCAGGCTGCCCACAAATTGCATCCAAGAGACTCAAAGTTAACATCTGGCAAGTTTGGTTAGCAGTTGTCTGTGTTAAGATAATTGGAAAGCAGAGATGAACCCACGGTACAAAAATAGCCCATCCACATAACCAGTATGCTGTAGGTGGTTTGCTTGGTAACTTTTCCGTGAATTTTCTGCTCATCACTCCTCTGGTATTATTTCTCCCCCTTACAAGTGCACCTTCCTTACATGCTTTCTTTTTGCTAATAGCTGCCAACTATTGACTTATAAACAAATGAAGCTGACAGTTTTCCAGAGCGGGAGTGAGAGGGAGCCTCATCTGAACTATACTAGTTATTAAACTGGTCTTGCAACAAAGTAAGAAAAAAATCATTAATTCTACTGAGATTACGTATGCATGTATCTGGATAAGCTTTTGTTTGTTACACAGCCTATGCTGCCACATCTGACTGCAAATTTGAAAATATGGCAGAGCACTGGTGTTAAGTATAATCTATTGTCTGCCTCCTGGCCAAGCCTGGTTTCATTATCTATTCCAAAGAAAGAGAAAGAAGTGCCTAATGCTGTACATTTGGGAAGTTGGGGAGCCTGTGACAAATCAAAAATATAATTTGTTCTCACGCTGTGTACATACTAAGAGTGAGGCTTAAGTTGAACGCTTTTCTCACAGCACAACATCTTAGCACCACTCTTCTGTCTGCTTTTCCTCACAGATTTAACTGTTGGTGGAGAGCTGTATGGAGGCAATCTACAGGGAGTGAATTAGTGCCTGTGTGTCAATAGCACTGGTAAGTAAGGAGGCTATGGTGATTTTGTGAGGTCTCCCATCTCTGTTTTTTCCACTGAAGTCAAATACAAATCCTCTGACCTAGGAGACAAAGGATAAGATGCCCTGTTTCATGACTAGCCCCCCCCTTACATCATGTGAAAGCATGCATGCCACGGTGGCTAATGAGGCAAAGAGAAGGGATGAAGGTGGGGGAAAGTCAAGAGTCCTGGAGACTCCTTGTTTCCTTCCAACCCTCAGAAGATGCATTTGTTTATTTTGAATTGTGTTTCAGATGTTTTCTGCCATCCATGAGACTGGAGTTACACTATCTGTAGTTGTTTCTGCTTGCTAGAAAGGTTCTTCTCTCAGGATGATGGTCAGCATAAGTTCAGAGATGAAAGTTTTAATTCTGTTTTCTGACATGAACTTTGGGCCAGATTTCAAATCTAGAGGGAAAGAGGTCAGCTGTGTTTGTAGGTCCAAAGATTAGGTGCAAGAAATCAAGCGTTTAGAGTAACAACCAAGACATTAGGTACTCATGGGTTTGTTACTACACATTATTTATTCACATATGACACAAAGATTTTCTGTCATAACTTCAAGTGGCAATATGAGTATCAGTCTCATAGCATGAACCCACAAAAAGCAGGTATTAATGGATGACTAATTCTTAAATTTGGTATAATAACACCTCAAGTAGTTTTTTGCTTCTTTCTTTGTTTTTAAAAGAAAAAATCCCATTTAACTGGAAAGAAAACCAAATCTCTCCATTATCCACTTAGGACTTTCCAGCCTTCTGACAAGTGCTCAGATTAACACGTTTTATTCAACACGGGCATATTTTGTCAAAACTTGTGGGGAATGCTGACTCAGGATAAGGTAAAACTCACAAGGCATTGAACTAATTGTGCAATGCTTTATGTGGAAAAATTACTTCCTGATCCCTGCATTAGATGCCAGTGCTTTGAAACGTGGCGTTTAAATATCTGGATTGTGTACTTATCTGCCAGATAAAAATATCAAGGTTATAAATATAATTTGCAATATCCACATTCTACACATATTTGTATTGAGATGTAACTATTGCATTTAATTCTTCTTCTCCCTTTTTACACAATATTATCCCTTTCAATAAAGGATGATTCTCATACACACTTCTAGATTCCTTAATGTTTAAAATGTCATCCACCACTTTACAGCATTAATTTCTACTGTGAACTCCCTGTTCTGAGAGATGCTGAGTAGTGCCCATGTAGCTGGATAACTGTGCAATGAATTTCTAACTCTTTTAACTGTTTGAGCTGACTGATATGCAGGTAGTGAAAATGGCTGTAAGTCTGTAAGTTTGGGAACATTTATGCAGCTTTATTACTCTGAAGCTTTATAAGCAATGTAGACTATTAATAGCATATTTTATTATCGCGAAATAGATGAGGTTAATATCAATTTTACCCCAGAGTGTTTCGATATCATCCTGGGAAAATGGCTTTTGATGAAAACCATGTTGATGAAAACTAGCCACAAAATCCATTTTTGTAGAGTAGGCTGAATGGTCCGTTCTATATCAAAAGTACGTTTGTTTGGGAGCCAAAGATGCTTCCCATGGTGGGAATATTTTGGAGCCTTGCAGGCAGGTAAACCCTGCCTTCCTCCTGCAGAAACTCAGAGATGGTCTCTCAAAGGCCCAAAGACCCTTGGTCACATATATCCCCATAGGTTCAGCACATCAGGATTTCTAAGAGGAGTGCAGTTTATACCACTAGAGGCCAGAGGGGGCCTCGGGAGAGGTTTTCTTAGACCCCTGATTTCTATTCCTGTTAAAGACCACCTATACTTTTAGCTAGCTGGTAGACTAATAATGCAGCCGGGTTGAACAAGTGTCAGTTCAATTTCTACACAGTTGCAACGTCACATTTTTGGGGGTAAGCAAAGGGACAGGCACAGGGAATGAAGTATACAAAGGTACCACAGAATGGGTTTGTATCTGTTACAGGATGTTAACCATGCTAATCTACAGAAGTATAATTGAAAGTCCTGTTCTTTTAGGTTAACACCAAAACGTGGTTTTGCCAAGAGCTTACAGCCAGTGCAGATTCAGTTCCTGGGGTGTGCAGTACAGTGTGTGGTGGCACTTGAGTTTGCCAGTGTACAGAAGGCTCATAGCACTGCAGAGGGTTTACTCACTTAGGTAGATGATGTCAGAATAGACCCAAATGGGAAGTTTTTCTATGCTGCCTTGGATAACAAGGTTAAGAAAAAAACAGTGGCAATTTAAATAAATCAGATGTTTTTGCTGAAGATTATGCTGTCATTTTCTCCAATTATTCTTGACATTTCACCCATTCGTATTGTGATCTGAGTTAATAATGGAAGAAAAAACGGCTCTTGTTGCCTTGTTTATTCTTTGTTCTCAAGGAGATAAGCTGTTTATAAAGATAACTTATTTGTTATTTAAATCACTTTTACTGAAGTTGTTTGTTTCCTTGTTTGAGTTTCTAAAAATATTGCAACAATTGCGATGCATCTTTGAGACGTCTATTCAACTCACTATGATTTGTACTGGAATTCATTTCTGAATGGGCACAGGTGTTGATAGCTATAACATGCTAGAATGAGTCAAAACCAATAAATGCTCAATAAAGGAAGGATGAAAGAAAAAGTACTGAAAACAGCTCTTTTAAGATGTGATAAATTGGCACTTTAGTTCGCTACTTAATTAGGTATATAGCACTGAAGATCTGTCTGGAGCAAATACGTATTTTAAAAAAGCTGAACATGTTAGAGCATAACTTCAATCCCTGTTAATATTTTCAAGATCATAAACATTATTTTTAAAATTAGCATTGCTATTCAGGATATAATCAACTTGCCTTTGCAAGCTGTTCTATAGTGCCCTGATGCAACATTTTGCTATACTCTTATAAAAAAAAAGTTGATTAATAGTCTGTGAAAATCACTTGCTTGCTTTCTCATGTTGCACAGAACTGTAACACTAAAATAAGGCACAGGAATTCCGACGTTGCAAAACCAAAAAGTCAGTTAAAAGTATCTCTCGTGGGCTTTTACCAGGAGCACACATTTTGTTTTCTGTTTCTTGCGTAATGCACTCTGCAGGCAACATTTTCTGAAGCCCCATCCTGACCTTTGGGTTCATTTCTGCTGGTAACGGAGGGCCAGCCAGCGAACCGGCGAGTTACAGTTAGCAGTGCCCGGGTGCCAGGGCCTTTCCCACGGAGCGCGGGCTTTCTGCATTGTGCTTTTCTGTCGGAAAAGCTTCGTGGTCACAGCGGGGGTGGGTGGGTAAGGCGGTCAGGTACCCACCAAACGAGGCACGCGGCCGGCGTTCTCCCGAGGAGCGCTCAGGTGCCACATGGGGATATCGCAACTGATAGTGCCAAGGACAAGGCTTACCGTGGGCTGAGCACACACCGGCGGTGCGGGACTGAATCAGCCTCTAGGTTTTGCATTATCTTCGGGGAAATCTGCTTTTATGTCAACATACCTTGCCGTTGCAGTTTAAATATATGCTCATTGGCATAGGAGTGGTTGCGCTGCTAATGTGCA